TGCTACAATGTTTTAATCAACTCCTACGGAATGGTGGTTAGAGGAAAATGCACTTTTCTCAGCACAGCTGAAAACACAACACAGTAACATGCCTAGTACCTAAGGGTCAGTAATAAATCTGCTGTAATAATGAACTCTGTCAATTCTAGGAACAGTCAACTGTAAGACTGAAACAGAAGCCTTACCTTATCATAGTGTACAATGGAGAAGTCATGAGTGCCATTATAGTGTACCTTCGGGAATTCAATCATCAAGTACATAAAATTGGAGTCCCTCTTTTCCCTCTGTGTCAGAGAAACATCAAACAAATGTAGTGACTCTAGAAAATAGCAAAATGTGCTTGTAGCATAAACTCTACACAATACCTGACTTGGTTCAAAACACTTCAAAAAACATACTGCGGCTGTTCATGTCATGAATGTCTTACTGGTGAGGAACCATACTACTAATACAAGTTTATGCACAGCATATTGTACATGTACATGTGTACTGCATCGATGTACAAGCCAGTCTGACCAAGATGACAAGTAACACTTACAGTAGGAAGTAGCAATTGCAGAAACAATTTGCTAAAGTCTGCATGTATCGTGCACAGTAGCCAGCCATGGAAGGATTTCCTGCCAAGCAGCTGACACACTCTTTCCACCATCAGTGGGGGGCTTCTCAATTGCACATGTACATGTTTACACTAAAACTATTGTGACTAGAGCAGCATGTCTTGTGACTCCATTTTCTAAACACCTTGACTACTGGTCTAGTCACAGATCTTTTTCTGTGGGCAATACATGAGGTCAACATGTAATATTTTTGACATGCAGTGAACAATAAGAATGATTTGTTAAACACAAATGCCTTGCTAAACCCATGACTAAAACCCATGAATTTAATTTGACATTACGAAATTGTACCCGTTGGGAAACCATCTCTATATTTATAGGAAAACAATGATACCCCCAACCTTTTGAAGTTGATACACCCAATTCTGTGGTTATTATCATTAAACGACCTTGACCTTTGACTTGGCGTGTGTGAGACCACATAACGTCTCACCCACAACACTGGACTTCTTCAGTTTGGAGGTCCACACAAGGTACAGGCTAACAAACACAACGGGGTACAAGGAAAATGCAGTATGCCTCTACAGCTTAAAGTCACTGAACATCAAAAAGACATCCCCAATTCTTGCACAGTACATTGTATATTGCTACTTGCGTATCTGTTAATTACAGTATATGCCTTTCCCTGCCAGCATGGCCTTGAGACACTATTCACCTAGGTGTTCTTAACCTACATGTATTTTTACTGCTGTTCTAACCTCATTGATCATTTCAATCTCTCTAAACGTTAGTCGATCCAGCCAGTCCACTTTTAGCATGTGGCCTTTGTGATGTTTCTTTGTGAGCTTGCTCAGGGAAGACATTTGTTCTCTGCTGTCATCAGTTTTCCCAGGTGTGGCTGTGTGAACACTACCATCCCCCTTCACGCCAGGCCACACTTTCAGATCATGCATTCCTTGACGAAAGGTCCTGTCCAGGATTGAAAGCAAAAACCCAAACACAGCAACAGTGAAATTTTAAAATTAGTTTATGAGAGAGACTGTGGCTCTGACACATCTCACTCAGCATCATCAAGATCAAACTGGGTTAAACAAATACATGCACCTGACCATGGGGACCAGGATATCTGATTTCAATAACCCTTATTTCTAAATTTACATGTACCCAGGTACAACCAGACTGAATTGCCATATATGACAGACCAGTAACCACCACTGCATGGCCATCACAACCGACAACCTACCGGCACAGTGAATTCAAGAAGTTTCCCTGGATCAAGATGAGCCAATCCTGTGTAGTTTGAGTCTCAGAGTATGGTACACGTAGCTGGGTCATTCCATGAGGTTGGGGCAGTTTGTGACAGTGTCAATTGTTACATGGGTTACATAAACATGAACAGCTATTTCCCTGCATGTGGATTCCAAATTGACATTGTTATACATCTTGCAAGACTGAATACAGAGGTTTGTGTTATTTCTACAGAGTAAATGACCCACTCTACAGGTCATGGCAGATGGTAAAAGTTACCCATGTACTAAGGACACCATCACAAACTCTGCCAAAACCTTATGGAATGACCAGCTGAAACATTATTCTCAAGTTCAAACTGGACATCCATAACAGATCCTTTTTTCAGGTAGGTGTACAGGTAGGTGTACATGTATAGTACATTGCAACTGAACGTGAAACTCGATAAGGAGGAACACGTTTCCCCTTTAGGAAAAAGAAATTCACAAGTGGGAAATTTTTCTACAACTTTTTTTCACCAGTGGGAAAATTTTCCACAGCTTTTTTTTATTACAAGTGGGAGGAAATTCACCTGTGAATGTGAATGGGTATTCTTTTTACAATTTTTCCCAGTCGTTTTCACCAGTTAAGTTTCAACCGCAATCCATGTATACCTGTACATGTAACATCAAGTGCCTAATAACACCATGGTGAACAACAATAACACTACAGTGAAGAACAGACCCCAAAACCCATTGTAACTACGGTACGTGTGTCTGGCACTATCCAGCTGCATTAGCAAAGCCAGGAAAGCTGATTATCTACATGTAGAAGTTAAAAATCCACTGACTGACTGACCTTTGACATTTACTTGCATCACAATCACAAAAGGACATGTAAACATTTGATCAATTCATGCCAAGGTAGCTAGCAGTACATGTACTCAAATGCAACCCAAACAGCTACAGGTGTGTGTATATGTAATTGTGTGTGTATGTACATGTGTAGCAAGCTGACAGACAGCAGTGTTAGCGATCTGGAACAACTACACTGTACATGTACATGTATGTACTTACCCATGCTTTCCAAAGAGAGAAACAGTAGTGCCTCCAACTTTTAGGGCTTTTCTTGGCCCATACACATCCCAGATAGTGAAAACAAGCTGCAGAAGACATAAAAGGGATATTCTGGTATTTACCGGTAGCAGTCAGGGTTTCAATTTGAATATTCACAAATATAAGTATGTCATATCCACTTCTACCTGTACATGTACACTTGTCCTGACTGTGTGCCATTATGATAATTACAATAATGCACAATCGACACAAAGGCTCAATAAACTGATGCCAAATGATGAACAAATTAAAACAAGGAGAAAAATCTCTCACTTCCCAACCCACTTTTGAAAATTACATGCTGTGCATTTTTGTATCTTACGATACATGCACATGCAACTACATGAACCTTCAACCTTGATATTCAACAGACGTTAAAATGTATATGTACCCTCTAACAAGAACTTGTCTGTGTGTTGATCTGTCAAGAGTTGCACAAAGAGACAACTCTGCTGCTTAGCAAAATCTAAGTGAAACTAAGTAAGATTTGAAGCTTTGCATGGTGGAAGCGACATGAGAAATGGGTTTGCGGATCCACCTTGGAATCAATCTCTTTTGGGCAAGGTGTGGTTCTTAAAAGAACCGGTGAGTGTTAACCACTACCAGCTGGGGACTCCGAAATCTGAGCCGTATGGTTTATATGCGTGGCCAGGGTCTCCGAACTCGGACAAAGGAAACAGGGCCCTGTAACAAAAGACCATACTCCGAACAAAAGACCAGGCTGCTGGTCATTACCAACATTTTTCACTCTCAAAAGTGGTGATAATCCAGCCTTGTTTTGAAACCGTATACCAGGGTTTGGGGCATTGAGAGCGAGCGGATTACCACCGGGGACAAGAGGGCTCCACCACCGCAGCGATGAGCCACACAGCACCGCTGCACGCTAATCTGGCCCCTATTGAAAAGAAGTCAGCAGTGCACTACGCCAGGTTCGTGAACAAAAGACAGTTATACAACACCGCACAGTCTGGGCTCTGTTTACAAGGCTGCTGGCCTAGCTGAAATACTCGGGCATCAATGAAGGCCACCTGTCAACTTAGAGTAGTGCCTAAAGATTACTTGGTGCGGCTATAAACGTTAAATGAAATGATGAATTTTTGAAGGATTTTGAAAACGGAAAAAATGATAGTCATGCCGGCCCAGCATCATCAACATTGAAAAATGCCCCGGCATGAAGTGGTTAAGTCGAAATTTCAGCCAGTGTGCTTTGAGGACAATGGCCAGAGGATGCCGAAACGTTGAGTTAACACTCAACGGTTCTTTTAAGAACCACACCTTGCCCAAAAGAGATTGATCCCATGGTGTACCCGCAAACCAATTTGTCTAAGTAAAACTACCATATTGCTTTGGCCAAGGTCCCAGTTCGCATTAAAATGCAGATCATGCATGTTGCATACATGAAGTCAAATCACTAAATATTGCATGTACATGTAGTGTTCACATTGCATCTGTAGCATCACAAAGCTACTGTATGCATCAAGTTGGTCTCAAGCTGACTCACCACAGCTGTTCGTGGTAGATCATTGAATTTCACTGGGAGTGTCAGCCATTCATTCCAGCTACAAAGAGAAATTTGAACATTTTGAAAATTTGAAAAGACAACTTCAAAACATCTAACATTCATTTCTGAAGGGCCATTTCTATAAAACAATATTCAAAAGTACTGTACAAATCAATACAATGTTTTAAAATATATTTATAAATATAATAAAATACATCCCTAAACCATTCATGTTTGACTACACTGCATTTCATTCATATTCAAAATGCATACAACTCACTGGATGGACGGTACATGTACACAGGTACAATGAGTACCCGTACTTCTTAATGTAACCTGCATAATTTATGCACTTTAAGACTGTGGATGTGTACTTAGGCATTTCAATCAGGGCTATTTCAATCAAAAACTTCAAATGAAAGATTGAGGTACTCCAGTACATGTACAGCTGTAGTTACAAATTTGTTTGTATACTACATGTACATGTACCTGTACTCTATACTCTCGCCATGACCATGGTACATGTACATGTACTCTTGCCATG